TTAAAAATAATGCATGGTCTTTTTTTATTATTTCATTACGGTGAAATACTGCGGTGGTCTGTGTAGAAAATATAAGTACTTATGGAAAAATAATCTAAAGTTGCATTGGCGATTAACAGTTTTGTAGGCAGTTGCGTGAATCTTTTAGTACGTGCATTCAGTATATAGCCTAAACGAGATCTTGGAAATTGAATATGCCAGCCTTAACGAGATCTTGGAAATTGAATATGCCATTTTGCAGTCGTACGCAAGTGTCACAGATAAACGTCCCTTATGACATAGATAACTAGAGTGCACACGAATCACTGTGTAGATTCATAATTCTTTAAACTAATAAACCCAGTAGCTGACTGGACAGCCTGAATGAAATAGACCATTCGGAAGATCTAGACGTAGATGGGAGGATACTGACAAAATGGGTCTTATGAAAATAGGTTTTGGGGGTTCCATATATTTCCATGTGGTTCAGAATAGAGACCAGTGGCGGGCTCTTCATAGCACGGTCCTAAATCTTCGCTAGACAAGCTGAGATCACTACAATCTTCTCAGACGGAGCTCTGCTCCATGGACTTAGTTAATATAAGTTGCAAGAATAAATTTATAAAATAAATCGGAGCTAGCTTTAGGAAATTCAGGTACTCTCTCTGGTTAGGATTAAAGGGTGACATCTGCATTTATTAAGATTATTCGTAAGTGTTTGTCAATAGACACATACAATTTCACCAAGCCTATGGCCTGCGTAATCCGTAATGTTCCAAAATATAATTCTGCAAAGAGAATAATGGATTCTGAAGCGAATTGTTATCTTTATTGTAATTATTCAGTTCTTAAACTATTGTTCTGAACATCAGGATATACAATAACGCTGTGTCGTGTTTCTTTTGGTGTGGTTCATATTCTTTTATTTGAGTAAATAACGTAAATTATGTGTCTGTAAGCAATGTGGGCAACAAAATATTTAGATCTGAAAAGGATGAAATAAACAATGAATTTCGACAACAGGTGGTATTTTTAGGATAGTGAATACAAGGAGGCTGTGTTGGGGGATATGAAGGATGCAATTTAGAAATTTGGTTCTGAAACATCTTGAAGAAAGCCGGGATTCCCCGAGGATAATATTTAGATAATAAGTGTTTTGACGATGGCAGGTGGATGAAATGGCTCAGGGTCCGAGACCAATACGTGTTTGGTGCTAGCGGTGTGAACGTCTGTGATTTGTAGTATATTCTGGTGATGAGACATGAATAACCTACATCCTTAATTTTATCTGCGTTAATTTCTGAACAGGGCCCTCTCTAGAGTGTAATAGGGTTTTTGTGCTTTTATTTAGAAGGCATGTCTTTGTAAATAAATTATTTTGACCAGAATAGACCAGAACGTAATGTGCTTTATTCAGTTCCAGTCACTCATGACTGTGTTGGTAATTAATGTCTTATTCTAAAGAGTAGATTGAAAGCATTGACGATAAAATATTTTTTTCGTTTGATGTCTCTCTGAAGAGAGCATTCATGTGGGAAATTTCGACTGAAGATGTGACATGATACCTGCTCCACACAACCTTTAAACCCATACTACCAGCTCGCAAATGTGTAAAAAGTATGGGCGAGAGGATTACAAAGCCCTATTGCCGATCTGAACTTAATGGCGATTAGAAAAAATCTTATTCCCTTTCGTGAATCTAACCCTGATCACTTTTCAAACTGAGTTATAGTACGTCACTCACTTTTATTGTTATTGTTTTATGTCTTACTTCCTGCAGTTTATCGTCGGTCACCAGTCCTTGATTGAACTTAAATTTCTGGATTTTATCAAACATTTTAACTCTTTATTATTATTATTAATTATTATTGATTATTGTTAAAATAAAATTCAATGCACGTAGAATATATGATATGCCTTTCGATAAGGTTTTTAATTCGTCGTGTAAATTATTTATTAATAGGTTTCATAATATGTGTATGTTCTTTGTTGTTGGCAAACACTTTAATAAATGAATTGAATTGAATTATTATCATCACCATCACCATTATTGATATAACATTGACGAATTGTTTCGAGACTACTCTCTCAACAAATGTCATTCATGCTCTGTGCAATGGTACTTGATCACCTATTTGATGTTGATCAAGATCACCACAGTACTCATGTCGGCCGAACTATAACTACCCCTCCCCCCCTGTCCCACTCGCCGTTCTGATAATTGGGGTCACATTTAGTTAGAATTCTAAAGTGGAAACCTACTGGACACGGGGCGATGAAATGTAGAGAATCAGCTAACGCTTAATGGTAGAAGAAAAGTCTTACTGGATTTACTGAAAGGGTGGATTCGGGGTGTTATTCAGATCCACGATAATTTTATGTGCTTATGATGTGTACTTCCTTCTCATTCTCTCTGGTCCATTCACTCCCTCTTTTCTCCTCTGGAATCAGAACGAAATTATGGGGACAATGGATTAAATCCTATGTCCAATCAATTTTAAGTACCATAGTGTCGTGTTCTAAACGAATCCAGCAACAGGGGAGCCTTTTATTCGGGATAAAGACGATTGTTGGAGTGGTTTATTCGATCAAGGGAATGGAGAAAATTATTTTTTTTTCTCTTTTCCTTGAATTCAGATTTTTAAGTTTTATCGAAGTAAAGTGATGGTTTGATGTCTCACTACTTACGAATATATTTGAATTGGGAGTCTATGACGTATAAGAAACAAAAATGTCAGTAGATGTTAACACTTCGTTGATATTAACTTTATAGTATTCTGTGATGGTTTAAGACTAGGACGTGAGAATAAAATTTTGCTTTATTTTTCCCCATGTTTGCACACTAAATTGTTTACTCTTGCGTATTTAACGACGCTGTTTTAACTATTGTGATTATACAACGTCGAGTAAGATGGGAAAATAGTTATGAATAGTGAGTAACTATTTGGAATTAGCCGATTGTGACCTGTTTGACGATAATACCCTTGTATTCGCTCGGACGGATTAATTAAATCTGAATGAGGATGGACGGGAATTCATCCAATATTGAAGCCCTGAAGGCATATCCTCTGACAACAAGAATCCAGATCACCAGAAACTCGTTTCAACACAAAGCTTCCAAACTTTTCCATTTTCAACTATTGATAGGACACATTATAAACTTAATCAGTGAAGATATAAAGGTTTTGTACACAATCTGCGTCCTTGTTTATCCATACATATTTTTGGCAATTAAACAGAATAATACCATTCATAATTATGTCGATAAGCGTTTTCTTTGACGCCACATCGAATAATACCATTCATAATCATGCCGATAAGCGTTTTCTTTGACGCCACATCACGTAGGTTGTTCTTGCACTGATGTGATCGTGGTTTATTGTTGTCATAAGACATTTTCCACAAGGTAATTGTTGGGTCGTCGGACATTCTTGCACTAATACTTATACAACGATGTACGACAAAACTGTCTTTCTACTCCTAATCCGAGGCGCCACTGTTGCCCAACAATAGAGTCGAATCATGCAGCCATCCAACCACCCATAAGTGTTCTTCGTTCAAGCTAACGCCTGAAGAATAATAAATAAAAGCTGCAAAGGAATGTACTCCAACAAGGCAAGAGAGTCCTGCTCGTACGTAGGACACCCGTCATGTAGCTGTTACTGGCAGGATGCGGTGTGAGGAAATTGCATAGTGGCCAGGGGCCCGCGACATAACTCTCCGACGTTGGGTGTGGCGACCTTATTGTAAGTTTCTCCATTTCCTGCGTAGCGTCATCAGGACCAGGAAACTCGCCGACCGCTTGTAGATAAGCCGCACTGCACAGCGCATGCGTGGGTTTAAAACGCCTAGACTCATGGCGGTGCTTGCTAACCAATGAGGTCGAAAAATTCCATTAATGCCACGGAGCAAAGTCCTTACAGAGAAGCTTGGTAGTCGATCAGGCAGTCCAAAAATTTTAAGCCTCTTATGTAACCGGAAAGTCCAAAGCCAAACGTTAAGATTCACTTTAATATTATCCGCTGTGGAAGTAATATAGGCAGCTACTATGATAGAGGGAAGCTTATCAGCTAGTGATGCTTAATAATACCTGTGTGAGAGCTGCAGGAAAATGTACAGAACAACAACGCTTTGTTTCCTAGATTTAAAATGACTGAAGTTTACGCCGGTCCAACCAAACAATGCCAAAGCCCACTATAACATTTATCCTGTACCATTTCAACACTTCTCGTATCCTCAGAATCATTTCATATCACGCATTTCCAGGTGGCTGTGTGGAGTAAGGATTCATGATAACAGCTTATTCAATTCTTTAATTCTAAAAATATTAAATTAGCTAGTAGTCGTGAAGCGTTTGGTTATGTATCTTTCTCACTCTGCACTTTTAGGTCAGACTATCCTCTTTAATATCATATAAATAACCTAGCCTCCTCTCGCTTTGTGGGTATATACATATATTTCTTCCTTCACAGAAGATACTACGATTCAAAACACAAAACAGTCCTTTGTGTCTCGGTATTATGTTAAGACACTTCGGTAATTGATATTTTAATAAGGAAGTAGATCACATTAGGCGTCAGTCATTATAACTCATTTCCAGAGAAAATGTAGCGATTAAAATGACCACCTGTTCGACAATCGAAACTTTTTCGTATAAAAGCTTATGAAGGCTGTTGTGTATATATCGATCTTAAACAAACGATGAATATAAGTCCAACATCAGATAGTACACAGACAACACTGTTATCAATGATTACAAGATTTATTGTTGTACCTTTATATTGCAAAATCACAAACAATTGATAGCAGTAAATAATCCCTTCATACATATATATATTGTATCCTGCATATAAAATTAGGCTACATTCAGAAGGGAACAAGAAATAGAATACAATTACCAGAGTATCAATCGACTGAGAAATTCCGTATCGATATCTAATCTTATTGGTTTAGAGTTGTTTTAAATTGCTCAACTGTCTAATTAAGATCAGTCCAGACAAGAATTTACTTTATATTCTTACAACCCTCATTTATAGATAGGCGAATCATTGATGTGGCCTTGTCAATTTTTATTGAAGTATTAATCTGTACTTTCTCTGTAGTTGTTTTAATTTTAAAAAATTAAACCACTGAAATGTGAATTTAACATCGTACAGATTTTTTATAATGAGAGTCAAGGGCCGAAACCTTCATTATTGCAAATATATAGCACCAGGAAGATAAATTTGGGATCATTTATGTATTATATAGGGAACTGGATATAAAATTATATAAATGAAAACTAACGAAGCATTTTAAAAGTGTGTGTAGAATTTCTAAGGTACTTGTTGGGAATATGGCCAAGTCGCTGCCTTATTCATAATTGCACAGATTGTTTACAGAAATTACCGCCATTTGGTCACAAATATCAAGCAAATTGTTTTCAGCGCGTGTGACCAAGCGCAGTTTGAGTGCCTGGAGAACAGAAGAAACAACACGAATCTGACTTTCAGAACAAAGACAATATATAATAAATCTTAGTAAACAGAAATTACATTTGTTTGCTTAGAGCTGAATTGAAAGGAAATTTTCTGTTCTCTTATACATTGTAACTGGATTTCATGTTATTCTTCGTTAGATCTCCTCCTGGCAGAGATGTAAACAAATACCAAATGCAGGTTATGTGGCCAACGTTGCTGGTTTCAAGGTTTCTGAGCTCAAAATCAGAGTATAAAACCCGCACGTCCTCAAAACTAAGCCGATTTATTGTGAAAGTTTATTTTATAAACTCAGAAAATTAGTAATGCAATTAAATATCATTGACAGGTTTTGACAGATTTTAAATGTTGATCGGAGATCAATCATTTCTGTTGCTTCCACGTTAAAAGAGATAAATAAATTTTGTCAAAATTATAAAAATTCGTGTCTTTTTTTTTCCATCTTTTAGAAGAACATGTGGACTGGCCACATTATCTGTGCTTTGCAGGTAATGTGGTCGCAAGTCTAACTTAAAAGAAAATATTTTCTGGCTGTTATGGAAAAAAAACTAAGATCATGCGTTTTAATGCAGCTTAAGAAATCCTATGGTGGATTCGTACGTCACAGTTGTTTTAAAACCGTTTTAATATGATAAAAAACAATATGGAAGCCTAGCATGGCCATATTCTTTCCGAGTACCCTATATGTTAATTAAAATATTTATGTTGATTGCACCGTATTCCATATCACAGAAGAGTCATCAGCAGAAGATAATAAGAGCTGTCGTCATCGATGGAAGTAATCTCCAGTCTCACTCAATACACCGGTATACGGAAGCGACAATTTTTGCATTTCATCTGAAACAAAAATAGAGCGTCCTTAGAGGTGTCATCTTACCACACCTAGCATTTTGATTCTGTGCAGACGGTGCATACCCACAGAAACGGTTTATCCTTAGCTCCATACATGTTGAGACGGTGGTATTGGGAACGATTGGCGAAGAACAGGTTCAGATTATTTTTCTGTAGTCGAGTTGGGGTGACGAGCCATGACGAATTGGTGATATTTGCAAACAGATCCAGCACGTCACGACCTTCATGCATTATTACCTGAAAGAAGATTACATAATGTAAGCAGCTTAGTAGTATTGATGTTTGACTTTCATTCAATCTCACTTTCGTGGGTCACAGCTTCTGGTTGCTGTGACGTTCATTCGAATACAAATTGTACATTATAATTGCTTTACATTTATGCACTACTGTTGTTTCATTAACAGCAATACACGACAGGAAAATCTGGCAATAGGTCATTACTTCTTATTTCCTATCAGCCCGCGTAACAAAATTTAACATGAACTCGTGTTCAGGCACTGAGTGAGTACATAATCGTGAAGATGTTAATTAGTAGCAAAGTACAGCAGAGTCCACATCGAGGAAGTCAACTAGTCAAGAAATTCCCCAACTATTGATCAACTCGGACATTTGTCTATGTCCAAAATACCCTACCACTCTTCCCTATCTTGAACCAAATTAATCTAGTGTAATTCCCAAGATCGATTTCGATATTACCATCTCAATTAAGCCCAGATTTTCCATGTAATCTGCTTCATTGAGGTTTCCCGACCGAAAACTTTCCACGACTTTACATTTCTCGTTACATTTGACATTTTGTGGCAAGGAGCATGCAATATTACATGTTAGGCTACACGCGTGATGAAAAGTTGCAATATCTGAAGAATAAAAGACGGCGAACATTAAAGGATAATGAAACTTAAGTGACTGAAATTAAACATTAAAACACCGGAACTGAAAAGAACTTACCTTCTCTGGTTCTGGCTCCTGATCGTCGAAATCACAAACGTGTGGACAATCCGCTTCTTCATTCCTTAATTTGTCCTCGGAGCACGGAAATGACCGTCCATTCTCAGATGGCAAAGGACAGTTGAAGAGGGAATAGTATTCCGTATTCTCTTCTTCATTTTTTAACAGCTGTTCTTGCACTGCAGTCGCGTTTTCATTCGTTCCTCTTTCATCCTCTCTTTCTTCGTTTCTTTCCTTGTTCACTTTCCTTTCTTTGTATTCTGTCAGTGCCACTGTCCGTTTCTTTGCCTTCTCTTTTTTGTTCATGTACACTGCCTTTGCATCTTTGTCTTCCCTCAGCAGAGCCGCCGTTCGCAGTTGTTTGGACTGCAGAAATTCAGTCGCTACTTGTCGCTTCCATTGCATGGATGCGGTCCCTGTTTTTCCCTCATAACCTACAAATTCCCCTTTTCCTTGTTTCCAATACTTCCTGGATGCTGTTGCTCCATGTTTCTCGCATCCCCGGGTTGATGTACCGTGATGCTTGTTTCTCGAAGACGCTGCTGCCCCGTGTTGGGCGCATCTCCAAGAAGATGCTATTCCATGTTCCTCGCATCTCAAAGAAGATGCTATTCCGTGTTCCTCGCATCTCCAAGAAGATGCTACTCCGTGTTCCTCGCATCTCCAAGAAGATGCTACTCCGTGTTCCTCGCATCTCCAAGAAGATGCTACTCCGTGTTCCTCGCATCTCCAAGAAGATGCTACTCCGTGTTCCTCGCATCTCCAAGAAGATGCTACTCCGTGTTCCTCGCATCTCCAAGAAGATGCTACTCCGTGTTCCTCGCATCTCCAAGAAGATGCTATTCCATGTTCCTCGCATCTCAAAGAAGATGCTATTCCGTGTTCCTCGCATCTCCAAGAAGATGCTACTCCGTGTTCCTCGCATCTCCAAGAAGATGCTATTCCGTGTTCCTCGCATCTCCAAGAAGATGCTATTCCATGTTCCTCGCATCTCAAAGAAGATGCTATTCCGTGTTCCTCGCATCTCCAAGAAGATGCTACTCCGTGTTCCTCGCATCTCCAAGAAGATGCTATTCCGTGGTGCTCGCATCTCCAAGAAGATGCTACTCCGTGTTCCTCGCATCTCCAAGAAGATGCTATTCCATGTTCCTCGCATCTCAAAGAAGATGCTATTCCGTGTTCCTCGCATCTCCAAGAAGATGCTATTCCGTGTTGCTCGCATCTCAAAGACGATATTGCGTCTTCATCCTCGTATCCCCGTGCAATTCTGTCATTTCCCAGTGATGTCAGTTCTTTATTTTGACCGTATGCTCCGAATGCAAACTCCCGCTTCCGTTCATATCCTGGGGCCGCCGAAATTTTCAGCTCATTCAATGGGAATGTTGCTATTTCTGTCTGTATTTCGCTTCGTAGGTTTGCAGTTGCTCCCGAGTTTTCTTCTAATAATGCAATCGCGCCTTCTTCATTATCTTCTGTCGCAACGTTTCCTGATCCTCCTGGCTGTTCGTGTTTCCCGCCGCAATTTATGTTTCCTTCGCGCGTCTCAGTCTCCAAGAAGTCCTCTCCTTCTGCAGCCCCATCATCGTCAGGCGACATTTCAAAGATCTGTTCTTCGTCAGTGTCCGGAAAGCTTTCTGGTTCAGTCTCTGTTGAGGCTGCACTTTCAGCATCAACATCTCTGTCTACGGATTCAGGTGGAGTGTCGGTGGGGCTGATGACGTCAGCGGAGCCAAATCCACTGGACTCGCTGTTTGGCATAGACGGAGTAAATGTGTCTTCGGTGATTTCTCTTTCACTTTCTTCGGGGATGATAGAGGCAAGACCTGTAACTGTATAGAACAACAGCGCAGGTACTTAAGGGATCGTGGTTTCTTGGAACTACAGCAGGCTGACCGGGGCGGGGGGTGGTGGAAGGCTAAACTGAAGGTAAACTGTTTGAATCACTGACTGAAGTCCAAGCTTAGTGCTCGCATCTCCAAGAAGATGCTACTCCGTGTTCCTCGCATCTCCAAGAAGATGCTATTCCGTGTTGCTCGCATCTCAAAGACGATATTGCGTCTTCATCCTCGTATCCCCGTGCAATTCTGTCATTTCCCAGTGATGTCAGTTCTTTATTTTGACCGTATGCTCCGAATGCAAACTCCCGCTTCCGTTCATATCCTGGGGCCGCCGAAATTTTCAGCTCATTCAATGGGAATGTTGCTATTTCTGTCTGTATTTCGCTTCGTAGGTTTGCAGTTGCTCCCGAGTTTTCTTCTAATAATGCAATCGCGCCTTCTTCATTATCTTCTGTCGCAACGTTTCCTGATCCTCCTGGCTGTTCGTGTTTCCCGCCGCAATTTATGTTTCCTTCGCGCGTCTCAGTCTCCAAGAAGTCCTCTCCTTCTGCAGCCCCATCATCGTCAGGCGACATTTCAAAGATCTGTTCTTCGTCAGTGTCCGGAAAGCTTTCTGGTTCAGTCTCTGTTGAGGCTGCACTTTCAGCATCAACATCTCTGTCTACGGATTCAGGTGGAGTGTCGGTGGGGCTGATGACGTCAGCGGAGCCAAATCCACTGGACTCGCTGTTTGGCATAGACGGAGTAAATGTGTCTTCGGTGATTTCTCTTTCACTTTCTTCGGGGATGATAGAGGCAAGACCTGTAACTGTATAGAACAACAGCGCAGGTACTTAAGGGATCGTGGTTTCTTGGAACTACAGCAGGCTGACCGGGGCGGGGGGTGGTGGAAGGCTAAACTGAAGGTAAACTGTTTGAATCACTGACTGAAGTCCAAGCTTAAGAACTAGACTTTAAGTGACAAGGACTTTGTACTTTCATCCCCAGAATTGACGTTTATGGACATGGATTTTCCACTGAATGCAAATTTCATAAATAAACATGACCCTGACGTCGAATTTTTATATAAAAGAACATAATTTATAAAATCTTCTCGGGCGATTAGCCGCGTCAAATGGTTACCATAGTAAACCGACGTTTCGGGAACCATCTCTGTCCCCATCATCAGGGTTATGATTTTATTGGACGTTTATGTCAGTTTTAGTCATGAAGTGCATGATATGAAAGTTTAATAAAGAGAGCGGGGAGGGGGGGGAGATATCACCTGTAAGACCAAGAAGTCGATTAGAAGATAATTTTAAAATGTATCCTGGAGAAACTTAGGGAAAATTGGATTGGAATATATGGAATATTTTAAAGATTGTATTGTTGGATTGTGGTTTCATCCATCCTCCCGTCACTTCATCCGCCTTAGGTCCGAATATTCTAATCAGAACTCTGTTATCAGACTGTGTTATCATATTGAACCCTTTTAGATATTTGGCAACATTTATTGGACCTGGGGGGGGGGGATAAACCCAGCACAGCACAACACAACACACAAAAACGAGGAAACACATAAGTGGAATGGGGTCCGAACCTACAATCCCAGGGTTTGAATGCGGCCACTGTTGGCATTAAGCGTAAGAATTTCTCATGTAAATAGACGGCACGAACAAAGAACACGTAATGCTTTTATTGAGCTACGTAGTGAAATGTGTAAGTGAAACTGCCTGCAGTTGGTCACTTGAAGTAGTAAATCACTTTTGGTCATTTGCAGTTTTCCCTATTTGCTGTCAGTACAGTGACACATCCCTTGTTCAGAAATATTGCCTTATGCTGAAGTTCATATCTGTTGCTTCCCATCGTATCTCGACCACAACCCTTTAGTTTATTTTACTTTACGAAATATTTTCTTTTGTGTAGCTGACCTTTGGACCACGCATGAAAACTCTATTTATCTAATACATTGACTTTGTAGAAATTTGTGTATATTGATTTACTTATGCATGGGGTTTTCTACGAGCCAGTTAAATATATTACCAGCTGCATAAACCCAGACAAAAATATTCTTATTACGAGTGTATGTTGTCGGGCCTGTAAGTTATTTCCACGTTATACAAAATGAAAAGCTTTGAGAGTAATTAATTCTAAAACAATTATAACTACTGAGTAACAAATAATATATATATATATATATACATGGAAATAATTTAAACAAAAATAAATAGTGGTTTGTTTTTATTTTAAAAGTGATTCTACGAAGTTGGTATGGTTTATTGTGTTCTTACATAAAACTGAGGCTGATAATTTTTTAAGGTATTTGTTTCTAGAATTTGTAATTAAAACTGCCATTTTCCGTAAAATGACTAGTAGATAAACAAACAAGTAAATAAATTAAATGCAGAACACATTAATTAAATTTGAAAGTGATTTTCACATTTTCCTTGAGAGGTGTCGCTACCACTTCTGTTTTTCGTAGTCCGAATGAAGAAATATTGTATAATCAATACGAAATGAATTTAAGTGATCACTAAACCATGTTTACACAAAGCCAACTACAAAATTAATGTCATAATATAAAAGCAAATCAGTTTGCGAAAATAATTTTATTTACTTACCTTGGTTGCATCTTAGAACCTCAGCCATCGCTCCAACTCACTGCGGTGCCCGATGTCCAGTGATCTTATTGCTGCCTGTCACCGACTTCTCCCTCCGATAAGTAAACACTATCTGCTGTCCTCAAGTACCTACTGGTTGTCTTGTGGTCGCAGAAGGTGTATGAAGGGGAGAGGGATTTTGGCTAAAGCCATTAGTTGTCTTCAGACAAAAGTACGAGGTTCAGCAAAAGCCTCTTACATAGAGGCTAATTTTGTTCGTCTTAAATTTATCAGTGATAGGCTTATCGATCAGGTTCACTTACTATGCGATATTACCATTTAAGCAGCTAAATAAATAGGTGAGCAATTCAATGGAACCGAGACAACGGCAAGATAAGAAAGTAGCTGTACTGAGCTCGTCACTGGTCACGTGAACATAGTTACATCCCCCCACTTTCTTACCCTAAGGTCCATTTTAATATTATCCTCCAAGGTGTCTCACAAATTCGAGTTTACCTTACAAAATTTTGTTCGTTTCTCCCGAGTGTATTACATTATCCTCATTGATTTAACAGCCCTAATAATATGTATATGAGGTTATCACAGCGGTGAGTATGAAGATTTCTGTCTTCTGGGTTGTTGCGATGAATCGCCCTGATGACGGAGGCAGGATGATCTCTGAAACGTTGGTAAACATCTACCAGACTACACAGCGCAACAACCCAGAAGACAGAAATCTTCATACTCATCGCCCTGATGACGGAGGCAGTATGACCTCTGAAACGTTGGTAAACATCGACCAGGCTGCACAGCGCAACAACCCAGAAGATAGAAATCTTCAGCCCTAATAGTACTTGGTGCAAGTATGAACTATAACGCTCCTTAATTTGCTGTTTTATTTAGCCGTCTGTCAATTCCTTTTAGGCCCAAATGTTCTTTTTATAAAGTTAAGTACGGTGACATCTATATGCATTTATAGTCCTCGCGGTAATAAGTTAAATGCTTCGATGTCATTGCCCAGTTCCCGTAGTTCCTGGGACAGAGGTGGGATAACGTTCTTTCCAATAATTTACTACGCACCACGCGATGCAGATACATGGGAAAGTTGAGGTATATTTCCACACATTTTTAACATCGACATGTGATTGGTGAATGGTTAGAGTTAATGACCGGGGAATGCGCCTTCTCAGAACTTGTCATTAGACCCCAGGGTTACTGAACTCAGCTACCACACATTTTTAGAAAGGTTGTGTTACCTGAAGGATTTAAGTCCCGGCCGCAATTAGTACCGGTATTTGGGAAGAAAGTTGTGGTTAATTTGAGGTTTTAGGGGTAGTCAGCAGACGTACTAACACCAATTTCCTTTACAATCAGATGAAGAGAGAGATAAATGCCTGGATTGGATTTAGAAACAAAGTTCCCTATCTATATCACAAAGTTTTTGTCGGATTATGAAGGCATCACGTTCTTGTGTTATTCTGATTTTCAAAATGGCCAAGATATTTCTCACAGTACTGTTGATATATGTTCGTTATTAACTATGTAGGATTTGAGGTTCTTACTCTGATGGGTTTAGAAACGAATATTTAACGGGTGTAACAAAGTGTAGACTGGTAGAAGTTTGCCAACGTTTCGGAGGTACTTGCTTTCTCCATCACCAGGGTGATTATTATTAACTATTTCCCAACCCATATCTCTGCATAGTATATGAGTGTTTCTCAACCGGAGGTCCGCGAGTTGGATATTGATGTACGTTTTAAGATTTTTATCGTTGCATTTTTACTACCACATTTTAGTGAAAAACACGACGAAAAATATACTTTCTATTATATTATAGCACGTTTACATTCCGTTTAATAAAAATGTATAAATTTAGGTTGGTGGTCGCTTTACCACAAGATTCAGGACACAAATATTCTGGTCCTGAGATCCAGACGAATGGACCGGATCATCTCGGAAGTCATTGAGATCAAGCATTATCCCAGCAACACGTTACAGGGCAGGGAAGATGATGGCTTCTAACTGATCATATTTCCAACCTGAAGGGACTAAAGGATCTTGTTGGAAGCTCGGTGCACATTTCCACTGAGCCCTTTCCTGTCCTTGGTTCTTATAACGAATCTGTGACAGTTGTCGCCCACATTGCTGTATTTTTAAAAGAGAATGTCGTGTTGTTACAAGCTCACAAAGCGCATGAGATTAACCTGCAGCTACCTGCAATGTTAAATCTTAAGACGGCAATGCAAATAAGTAAAATATTTAAATTATACATTTTAAATTTGGGGTATTTTGAGCAGATGACTGTAAACTGTATAGAAATTAATCCCTACGAATATATTTATTCTAACTTTCATAAAAGTCGCACACTACCAGATTTCATAATGCGTATTCAATATGAACTGAAGGTAAACAATTCATTAATTTCTCTCAGCTAGTTTCTAAAGCTGAATCAAATTCCGAACAAAGCAAGAGAATGAAAACATGTAAATAAACGCAACTTCATTGGAGTCGAAACAAAAAGTTAGGTTAGTTAACTCGGAATGTTATGTTTTCACATTTCAATGGGCATTTTATTTGAATAGAATAGAACAGTGCTATTTTAAGTGACCCTATTCAAATATATAATTTTGAAAATTGAAAGCAGGTTTATAAAAATCATGAGTTGCATGTAATTGCATTCCCAATAGTGTTTTGGTTACCCAAGTTGAAAGCCATTGATGATATGAATAATACAACGTAAAAGATGTTTCGAGCATCCAAGCCATATTTTATGTTGGTTTATCTGATGTCGTGTAATACATATTAAAACACCCTATATCTACACTCTGTAAAAGTGAAATTATTCTTTGGGTATTTTTCGCTAAGGACGAGGATGAATAATATTGCTGAACGAAATATACGGGGTTTATTGTACGGCTGTGTGAGATGATGGCAAGAAACCGCTCGGAAGATCTAGACAGAGATGGAAAGATAATATTGAAATGAATCTTAGGGAAGTGGAGTGGATGGGTGTGAATAGGACAGGAACTGGTAGCCGGTTGTCGTGGAACCGTTATTGAACTTTTGTGTTGGATAAAAGGCGGAGAATTTCTTGAGTACTTGTACGCGCTATTACCTGCTTAAGAAGAACTTTGCTCTATGAAATTGGTTTTTTTTTCTCTGAGGGATTATTGCTGTTTGTAGGGGTGGCCACCCGAGAAGAGAATTTACTTGAGGTCTACACAGTTGCCAGTTTGTCAGTCATCGTCATTCTCTGATGACGTCAGGGAAGAAAGGGTTTTATTGCTGATCAATGAAAAGCATTGAGAAAAACCGAAACATTGTCATACAAATGCCTAAATCATGTTTACAATATTTCAGCATACCAGATTCGGTGTGATTTCTTCTTATGTTATTTTAAACGATATTCTTTTCAAGTGCATAGGTTATAAGCGTTGATTAATGTGATATTCGTGAATACTAGATAGAAAACGAAGTATAAGAAACCAGATCTGACCTCTTTTGATTAGCTGTGTCAGCATTTTCTGCAGCAAGGGAGACAAAATATGAAAACATCAACAGCTGGTTTCGGGCTCATATTTGATATCGGAGGCAGAAGTTTGATTCCAAATTCTTCGTGGTTTTGTACAGCGGTTGGTCACGTGTTCTTACTACTGTGAATTGTTAAATTTTATGTGTTTTGGTTTTGAATGCCATAAAAGGCCGACAGCCCTTTCACCTCTCTTTCAATAGACAAGGAAGGTTCGTTTACTGTCTAAAACTGTATAAATATCCTCTTTCTACCCAACCTAACAAAGCTAAGGGGTAAGCTTAGGTATTCGCTATGGCCAGCATTTTTTGTTCCGGCAATGGAAATGCTCTTCATATAATACAAACATTGTGCAGGATTTCTGCATTATTAACAATTACTGGAAACATTTTTAAAAATACTACTACCACACTAATATGTGCTGTAGCCCCTTTGAGCTGTGACTTGACTGGGTAATTTCTACCAAATTTATTATTATTTTTCAACGTTAGGTATTTACTATTGCTTAGAACTGCGAGGGGGAGAGTCGGTTCGTCCTAAGGTCTCTATCTACGCACACAAATGGTAACACATATACATGCCGCGGGTGAGATTCGAACCCATGATCCCACTGAGTGGTTAAGGCCAACGCCTACTGGAACTGATTTGAGTAGTAGCAGCAGCAGTAGTGATAGTGGTAGTGGTTGCACTAATGAAGTACCGGGGACAGGCAGAGCTTTCGTATTAACCATGTTAGCACTAGTTGAGAACGCCTGCCTGGTTGGAGCTGGCTAATGGTTCATTAAGATATTCGGTTCTGTTGTGTTGTAGTGTGTGGAGTATCACTGCACCAAGAAAGTAGGAATCTTTTAGTATTTTTTTTTAATTTTATGCGGACTGATGCGGTTAATTAAGATGAACTCTCCGCCCCTGTAACTCTGATCTCAGTTCATGATCGTCTTCCAGTCGTTTTCGATGAACCGGTGTGTGTGTAACCCGGGTGTCCCCGTTAATGCAGATCCTGTAGCAATGGACTGTGTCCCGTGTCTCTTCTTCAGAAATTAGCTGCTTGTCTATTTATGTCATCCCAACCAGCAAAGTATTGACGATTCAAGTTTATTATTGGACTGTAGGAAAGTTCATCTTCGCCTTTCCTCGTGGCTAACCCGACTCTATTCCGCCTCTGCCCCTCTTCCCGTACCTTCATCATCTCTGTAATGATTGCACTTGTTCTCATTTGACTTCCTTTTGATCGTACACTTCCACGAGCCGGTAGAGTCCACGGGAGCCAGCCTTCATTGTTCGGAACCAAATCAAACTTTCAATGCCCTCTAGTGCTGTGGCACGGGGTATACGGGGGGAAGGGGGCCTTTTCTCCCGGAATATAACGTACCACTCATACCCCGGAATTCGATTACTCTCTTCCCCCCACCCCCTTGCAACTATCCAACTAATGAATGTACTCACTCTCACACATTCGCTTACAGTGCAGATGAGAAGTAACTTCCCAATTTACCAAAATTTAGATTTTATTTACGAAGCTTATTCAAGGTACTTGAAAGAGCCAAGTCAGTAAATTGAGCGGGCTTCGATTCCCGGCGGAGATAGGTATTATTCTCTCGTCACCATATAATTTATTCGGAAAAGACTTTAGGATTAAAATATTTTGGAACGTCAGTAACTA